GATAGAAAATTAATTAAAAGTCAATTAAAAATATTCCATTAATTATTAACTTATATACATGTATAAATCTGGTGTATAAACTTATAATTTCATACACGGTATTTAATTAACAAAGAAAAATTCAGATTAAACTATCGCTCGCTCTTTATACATGTGGCATTACGTAAGTATAATAAATTTCATTAATTTTGCTTTATCGAGGCAGGAAAATCAAAAAAGCTGTGTTTTCTAATTAATTAAACTTTGCATATAAACCATCTTAATTCAAGGATGCTGTCTACATAAATTGAATGATATTTATATAGGTTTTCCTCTATTCTCCTTTCTCAAAGTTTTCCTTGGCTAAGCGAGTGTTTCGGTTTATTCAAATTGATAATGCATTCGTTACAACAAGCATTAATGACGAACGAAAGATTACCTCGTCATCCTCTGTGCTATTTGCATCCGTTACTCTCTGTCCGAATGCAGCCATTAAAATTATGCAGAGGAACCAATCTCTTCTACAACAAAAAACTATATTGACGTTACCAATTTTGTCTGCAGTTGTTTCTATGGAGCTCGACATTCAGAATTTTCTTAGATTTTCTGTGGTGGTTGGAGAAAGTTACTTAATTACAATTACATTCTGGAATTTTTGGCTTTCTTCTTCTTCTTCCTTTATATTAGTGTACAGTTTAGTTTTGTTAAATGATGACGATTTTATTGGGAAAACAATACAAGCGCATTTGCAGAAGAAGTGGAGAAATGGAAACGTTTGCAATGGATCGTATTATTTCTGTATTTTTTGTGATAATGATTTGCATTCCTTCAGATTTTTTATTGTATCCTGCTATACACAGTCGAACAAAATCGCAGTTCCATACAGTCTTGTGTGCAGTACTTTTGGTTTTTCTATCTTTTCTCTGTGTTTTTAATTAGATGTGCTATGGAAGCTATACCGGTACCTACAGTAGGTACCGGTATAGCTTCCATAGCACATCAAGAAATTTCTTAGATAATAGCTCAACAAATATTCTAACAAATGTAAACAGCTTTAGCAAAGAGTTTTAGGTAAAATTTATTTCTTTTTGTTGATTAATTTTTTCTTGAATAACAGATTCCCCCCCCGTATTTTAAAAAAAGTTATCTTTTTTGAAATTCTAAAAAAGAGTTTTTACAGTGCAAAGGACAATTTGAGTATTTAGCATGACTGTATAACAAAAATATAATAGGAGGATATCCTTGTTTTCCTTTGTACAAAATAAATTTTACATATTTGATCTACTATATCTATTCAGCTATTTTCACTTTAGTTGCCAAACTACTCATTAGAAATTTTTATTCAATGGCAATTTTACCGTTATAAAAGAATCGCGTTAAATGTCGCTTTATGTAGCAAAACTAATAAAATTTAAAATAATCCTTAAAGATATTAAAATTAATAACAAGTACAACAAGACGCAAAGTATTTAACACTCCACGTGATCATTTGATGGTTTTTCTACTTGGAATTTATTCTCATAGTTAACTCGATACATACAAAACGAAACTTTTTGACTCTTTCCGCTACGCAAATGGCGAGATTCTTTTTATCGAGCCCTCACGGATTCGGCCGGATCCACAACGGGACGGACGGACGAGGTCCGACATACCCAGGAGGACCGTCCGCGAAAAATTCCCAGGTTTTTTGACCCGACTCTATTCGTTCCGGATCCCCAGAGCAGTAGGCCGGTACCTTAACCATCGTTTTGTCTAATTTATCAGTAATAGATTTACATATTTTGAAAGTAAATATATACAAATCTTAATGTTTAAACTAATTAATATAAATACAGTATGTAAACAGCATGTGCATTCAAAATAAAATATATTTACTGAAATTCTACATATAAAAATATACATATTAATGAAAATATTTTTAATCCAAAGACACATGATTAAAAAAAAAGAAATACAATTAATTAGTTAAGAAATTTATTATTAATATTTATCATCTTAATGTTTATAAATAGATTTATTTATAACGATTTCTTATGTTAATAATTGAAATAATTTAGTTTTGTGGGAGTTTATACCTGTCAAGATCTCTTAGAATCGCTTACATGACCCTGTCGTTGTAGAGTCGAAATAATTTAACTTCAGTCCACCTTAATGAATTAAAATGAGATAATAAGTTGTCATCTTCCGAAGAGTAATCTTTGATAACATTTTAAGAGATAACATTAAGCAAAAATTACACCTATATCGGTACGCTGTCCATTCACGTATACTCTCGTCGTACACCAAACGATATCGTGTCGCTTCGAGCGTTGTAAAAATATTATTTTATTTATTTATTTATTATATGTGATATTTAAATAAAAATATTTAACTATCTTGTTTAAAAATTTATTTTATTTTTTTCTTATAGATCTAACATGAAATCGACACTTGTATAATTCTACGGATTTGAAAATGTTAATAAGTTTTATGACGTCGTCGCACGTGAAATCGAAAATAATTTTTTTTTTTTTTTTTACTTTTTTATCATTAGACATTTTTAAATTAATTATTACGAAAAATAGAAATATATTAGAATGGTTGTGCGATATAGCGTGTTTTGATATCAATTTGACGTCATCTCTTTGTTTTTACAATTCAAATAAGCGTTTGTTAGGCCTGTATAAGTAAGCCAATGACATAGTCCGTATCAAACAGAAGATATTATATCAATTGGTTTATTTATGTAAGGCAACATCTAATTGGTAAGCGAGAAAGTTTAACAAAGTGATGTCGGGTTAATTAAGGATTTATAAAAATTTTTTTGAAAATAGTAAGTCGAAAATATACTGTATACTTGGCAACTGAGTGTATGTTTCCTCAACATACACTCAGTTGCCAACTCTCCTACACTTTCTGCAAAACTCCCGAAAGTTGGCATATTTTTAAATTTTCGGACTTTTAAACTTCTCGAAATGCGATCTCCCAATTCCAGGGTCTGCGTAATGGTTAAAACTGTTCTGAATTCTAGAAAAAATCATACATTTTTATCCACTAAAGATCGTAAATTCCACATTTTGCACTTGTAAACTCATCTATAATACTCGATACCGCATGTATCCAAATTTGATTCAGATTTTCTCAATAGTTCTTTCTATAGACAGCACTAAACACCTTACTATAATGTGTTGTACCACCATATTTGCGTGATATGTGTGTTATCTGTTTTTATATAAAAGTACTCCTAAAAGATGTTTCATTTAAGAGTAATTTTGTCAACACCACTTCTCTGTAACGGACAGTTTTTTTGGTCGTGTAGGTGTTCGTCGTAGAGAGGTTTTACTGTACTCTATTTGAATTAAGATACAACAATCCTCTACGCGTTAATTATTAATCTTGTTACAACAAGCATTAATGACGAACGAAAGATTACCTCGTCATCCTCTGTGCTATTTGTATCCGTTACTCTCTGTCGGAATGCAGCCATTAAAATTATGCAGTTGTTGTAAGAGAGGAACCAATCTCTTCTACAACAAAAAAAAAAAAAAACTACATTCACGTTACCAATTTTGTCTGGAGATTTTTCTATGGAGCTCGACATTCATAATTTTCTTAGATTGACGAAATTTTCTGTGGTGGTTGGAGAAGGTTACTTAATTACAAATTACATTGTGGAATTTTTGGCATTCTTCTTCTTCTTCCTTTATATTAGTGTACAGTTTAGTTTTGTTAAAAGATGACGATTTTATTGGGAAAACAATACAAGCGCATTTGCAGAAGAAGTGGAGAAATGGAAACGTTTAAAATGGATCGTATTTGCCAGTTTCTTTATTTTTTGTGATAATGATTTGCATACCTTCAGATTTTTTATTGTATCCTGCTATACACAGTCGAACAAAATCGCATCTCCATACAGTCTTGTGTGTAATTTCTCTTCTTAGAATTTACGCTTTTTACTGTGCGGGTCAAATAATATTTGCTGTAACGATTTGTGCATCAGTATGGTATATTATGCATTATCGCTTTATTAATATACAGAACGAAATAAATAAAATTAACAAACAATTTCCAAATTTAAGAGAAACTATACATGCGAAATCGACAGAAATTTGGGAATTTGTACAACAAACGAACGAACAACTTAGCAATTTCTTTCCCTGTGTTTACATATTCTTTACTAATTTCACATGCATTATAATCTATTCATTATTATTCATGGAGTTAGACCTTATCTTAAAAGTAGAAGGAAGCATTTTAGCGTGTTTCCTCTTAACGGGATGTATCGTTGTGTCTTTTCTTCTTTCGAAAACTTCATCAATGGTAAAGTTTCTGAGAATATTATATTACTTGTAAAACGTAACGTATTTAATAATTAAAGCTATGGTTTAATTAATTAATGTCAGGTAGATAATAACGAGTTATCACACCACTGATAATAAACACAAATACCCGGGTATCAATAGAGTACATTTAATAAAAACGAGAAGGGGTGTACATTAAGATTACATTAGCAATTAACACGATATAACCAAAATGCATTTCGGACTAGCGAAATAACCCCTCTTCAGTTGGTGTACATATAAAAAAAAGACTATAATATTTAAAATTACACAAGACAAAAAACCATTACAAAGTATATGATCATTGAACAATAAATGGGTGTGTATAGAAGACAGGCTTAAGGCGGCTTCGTAATGTTACACGGTAACTTGGCGTAAGGGTTACTATTTTAAACAGTATTAAAATTAGCGGAATAATAAGGTAATTAATTGTTTTACACAATACAGTAAATTATATCTAGATACCATAACAGTAGTAAGATGGAGTTTGAAGGTGGTAAGGATGCAGAGCAGTTACGAGGGAGGTGTGGTACAGGCAACACGTGGAGAACAAGTAGTGACTAACATCTTAATGGCCAACCTTCATTCCATTACCTCTTTAACCCGGATGTCAGTGTTAAGTCTATAGATTTCATCATTTAATAGATGAGGGTCTGTGCTCAAATATCGACCGGGATCTAGGCAAATTATTCTATAAATTAAATTAATATAAAGAAATTGCTACTATGGTTTAATTGTTAATTAACACCACGAATGCAATTAATTGGAGTAAATTCTATAATATTACGTCATTGTCATTTTTGATTTATACGATTATCTTTTATGCAGTTATACAGCGATTTTATTGGAATCGACAAGATTGCGGCAGCGAATCTTCAATTGGAATTCAAATTCAAGCTTCGTTATCGTATTTTTTAGTATTAAAATGTTTTATATTTTGTAAATATATTTTCAGATTTTGAATTTTATGAAACGATTCGGGATTTCTTGGTAAAAAAGAATTTTACTATTAATTAAGGTTTGGGAAAGTTCTTATAAATTACACTTGGACATTGAAATTTAAACCTAACGTTTCATTGTTATAACACAATTTTGCTTAATGTTCTCAACCACAATATTATTTCATTAGCATATTTCTCTATTCNTTTTTCCGTTTTATCTGAATTACATGTTGTACGAGTCACTTAGATTTTACAAATATGTGAGCCGTTCACAGCCCGGCACACGTATTTGTAAAATCTAAGTGACTCGTACAACATGTAATTCAGATAAAACGGAAAAATCAATGATCTTATTGGGGGGTCGACTGTAATCATTTTGAGTAAATTACACTTGGACATTCAAATTTAAACCTAACGTTTCATTGTTATAACACAATTTTGCTTAATGTTCTCAACCACAATATTATTTCATTACCATATTTGTCTATTCTATAAATCTCGCCATTTATTCAAATGAAATATAATTATTATTTCCCTTCGTGTTTCAGGTAGTTCGATTTTCTCGACGCTACTCGAACTTAAGAATGTAAATAAAAAGAAATTGTGTGTGTCAATATCGACTACTACAGAAAATCCTTTCAACACTTCTCTCTTATAACCGTTCAATATAATTTTATAAAAGTTGGTGTTGATACTTGTTTATGATAATTACGTAAATTTGTTATTTGGTTTCCAAATACTAAATTGAAACAAGAATTGAAACAAGATTCTTCAAAAATATGACGAATAAACAGAATTTATTCATCACATTTTGAAGATTCTTATTACGATTATAATAACGATAGCTATTTACAACTAAAATTCGTTCTAACAATTTTACGTTTTCTCCCATTTTCAAAAAACGGACATTCGAGGAAGATATTCCGGAAATTTTTTACAATGAAACCAAAAAGTAAGAAATTTAATCACCAATCTATAATGGCCAAACACAAAACACATTGTTTCTCATCTCTATATAAAACACGCTACACAAAGCTAAAGATTCTTTTGACTCTTCCGCCCTCTACGGATTATTTAAGCTTCAAAGAAGGTGAATAGAATCGTGCCCACAACCACAAACACACACACATCCATACATACGGGAAAACCCAGAATTTTTGCGTTTCTCGACGTTTCAAGGTGTCGAATCCAAAAATTAAAAATCTTGGGAGGTCGTTTTTTGACCGATCACTACGATCGGTCAAAAAATGACCTCCCAAGATTTTTAATTTTTGCAGGCGTTCGATGGGAAAGATGTAAATTCCGCTCAGGCTGGTGAGAATTCGCCGTGCGACATGCGATCGGGCAATATCTTGCTGAAATATCGTGTCAGGTACTGCCTACACCAGTGGCAGAACCACAGGCCCCACGTGTGATGTATTGGTCCGCTGTCACAGTACCAGAAATGTGCACCAGAGTTGTCCGCTGATCGAACATGATGCCGTATGTGATGCTCTGAGAAAATGACTGGCACGTAGTGTTTCCCCGGGATACCGCCACATCCGTCCACTGCCGTCATTTTTCCACAGACAGAAGTAGGATTTATTCGTAAACAATATCCGATGCCATTCAGTGGTCCAGTCGCGATGAAGACCACACCACGCCATGCGTGCAGCCCTGTGTCGAGCGATTAATGGCACCCCGGTTGCTGGTTGCAGTGCGTGCAGCCCGACTACATGCAATTCATTGCAAATGGTTTGGGTGGACACAGATGTGCCACTTGACAGTGACAGACGGCTTCGGATGTCACGTGCAGTGGCGAACGGGTCCCGACTGGCCGTTCGGCGAATCTGCCAGTCTTTGCGCTATCTCGTGAGACAGTGCGATTTCTCTTCGGTGTGCTTGTAGGTGTTTCCTGCGTCCACTTGTCGCGCATACTCACGTTGTGCCCAACACGCCTGGTAACAATGCGCATCGACAAACCGAGGTCGCGCAGCTCCAGGATACGGTCTCCTTCCCCAGCTGTTAACTGGTGGTATTTAGCTCATTGTCGTCTCTGAGGCATTTTACATGCTTCTTTAAAAGTTCGGTTGCCGCGAGCCGTCGCTGATAATATTTACGGCCCATGCCAGCTGAGGGTTTTTGGAGCCCGAAAGTAGGTACCACATGACCGACGAGTACGCAAACTTAATCATTTGCGTATCTCTGTCACCTCTACCGATCCTGCAATTTGCATGTGGCTATGTGCATTCTTCATGGTGTTGCGATCTCACTTTTTTGCAGTATATTACCACACAGTATATTGTACTGCAGTCCCAGATAATACTGTAGTTTGATGCTTTTCTCGCCATAATTCACTTTTCGACTCTATAACATTTTAAACTATAAAACGACCAGAGGTAACTTACGTAGCACAGTACAGTAGAACCTCGAAAACTCGGTCTAATGTGGACCGAAGGGTGGCCGAGTTTGTGAAAATGCCGGGTTATCGGGAATGGGGTTAAAAAAAATAAGTACGAGTGTTTCCTCAGAAAATACTGTACTGTACTTGTTACTTGAGAATATTATTTGAGAATATGTATTGTTTACTTGAGAATATAACAGAGAATAAACTGCCCAAATACCCTTAAACAAAGGAAAAGTACGTCCTTTATGAAGGCATAGAGCCTTTACTACATGAAAATGAAAATTAATGAATACACTGTGTACAGTAATTTACCTGATAAGACAGACCTCAGAAAAATACTTTATGAGAGCTTTTATACTTTTATAAAGCTGTCTATAATGAAAATTAATTAACTAAGGATTTTTTTGCCCTGCCAGGGTGTGGCCGAGTTATCCGGAGTGCCGGGTTATCGAGATCCAAGTTTTCGAGGTTCTACTGTACCAGAAATGTGAAAGCGAAAGTTTTAGCCTTTATCATGGAAGGATTTCTATGATAAAAGGCTGAAACTTAATTAATGGCACAATGAAGAAAACTCAAACACCTCACCAGTCGCAATGTACTGTGTTGATTGGTTCGTGTGCAGGTTACATTGCACACCCCATACTCCACAAGTCATTCCTCCTGATCAAAATTCAATTTACAATAGTCTTTTTCAGCTACAGGGTGGATGGCCGCGCCGACAAGGTGGCAGACTAACGCTCTGGGGAATCCTGAATCGAAAAATCTCCAGGAATTTTTCGGGGGTGGTCTGTCCGGATATGTCGGGCCCGTCCCTCACCACCCGGCCGACCCATTGTGGGTCTGGCTGAATCCATAATGGACTTGCAAAAAAGAAGCTCTCCTAGTGCCCACAGGGCAGAGTTAAAAAAAGTATAATCTAAATGGCAAGGAAGTGTGCCCTAAGCACTAAAACAAAAGCGAAATTGAACACATTTCGCTTATAATTCCTTTAAATGAAATTAAACAATAAAATTGATGCATAATGTATTAAACAATCTTCAAAATAACGCATAAAACGTAAATCTAATTCATACGTCTCAGTGTATTGTGTATACACGTATTATATTTATATAAATAAAGGTATCCCCGTACAACACTGCACTCCTACAGTAAGGTTTTGCTTTAACACAGTTCGAGAATTGGAGACATCCTCGTACAAAAGTCACAATTTTTAAGTGCAAACGTCACTAGATATTTTTTTTTTATTCAAGCAAGCATACGTATTGTCTACTATTTGTTCATGGATTTTAGAATATTGAAAATTTAATCTATAAAAAGATCTCTTAAGCAAACGAAAGTAAATATGAATATATCAGATTTTATAAAAGAACGCAGAGAAGTCATAAAGGTCTAGCGACAAAAGGGCCTTTTTTAGTTTACAGTATGTTTTGGTTTCCTCGAATAATAATAAATACGGCCCGAGTTTGATATAAATCTATTTGAATGGCCGTTGCTGTGTTTCAGTTTGCGATCCCTGACCCAAATAAAACGATGGTTGAGGAGCAGTAATTCTTGCATGTCCACGTCCTGGTTGATGACCAACATACAGTATATTCTTTGAAATATTGTTCAAATCCAGAATATGACGCTCAGCAGCCTTTTCAGTCCTGTATGAAATTGGCCTGCTACTAGTCTTCCAGTAATTCCTACTGCCACAAATTATCTGCGACATCTTTGCCACATTATTACCATAAATGCCATACAATAAAACAATAGCAAATTATTCTTGATAGTTAAACCACAGGAGAAGCAATGCATATTTTGCATAAATGTGTCCTTCTTAATGGAATATTCGACTAAGTCCTAGTATTTTTAAACATTTTTATTTAACTTGCTTTGTATCATGCCCTCAAATCTTGCTACTGAAATTTCATTTCAAATCCTTCCATCCCAATCATCCTCCCCGATAACGTAATGAAATGTAGAATTTAACTGTGCGAGAATGCATTGTATTGATATATATTTACGGCGAGGTGGCCCTACCCCAATCTCGAAAAAGTGACCAATAAGTTTTAATATATTACGTATATTGTTTGCAAAACGTTCACACAAATTTTAGAGCTTACTTTTTTCTATGGATTTTGATACTCTTAGGCAGTTACGTGTCTTACTGCCGTAATTAAAGCTACCTCCTTTATCATCAAACGACATCTGTATTTAGAAATAAGCATCACTTAATTTCCTGCTGTATAAAATATATATATATATAGTCTAACATATTCCTAAAAATGTGTATCAAGTTGAACAATAGTTATAACTTTTTTTTTCTTGCTCTTTCCACCCTGTGGACTCAGAGGGCCGGCCTCTTTCAGCAAGCCCATTACGGGTTCAGCCAGGCCAATAGGACGGGCGGGTGGTAAGACGGGGGCCGACATATCCAGTCGGATAGCCCCCCAAAATTCCTGGCAATTTTTCGACCCGTCCGGATTCGATCCCATGTCCCTAAAATTTTTTTCATTTGTTTACACTCCCATTTTTCTTAAATAGAAAATTTTTCAGTATCAGACATCATCATTAAATACTTTGGATTTTCTATATTTAAACTCCAATAATAATTTCAAATAAATAAGAGATAATGGATGTTATCTTCATAAACCAGATATGGTTTCTATCACTTGGATAAGTCAAAATCACCCCATAAATCACAGGATCACCTCAATAATTAAATAACTTTAGAATAAAAATCATTAATCACTTTCAGTATTTGCAATTATGAAGTTTGTTTCTTTAAATTAGAGGGATGTAGTGGAAAATGTGTGTGTCAACAGTGCAAAAATATGTAAAATGATTATTATATAACAAAAATTTACTTGAGAGAGAGAAAACTCTGATGTTCTGTTTAATATAATAAATTTGTAATTTCTATAGAATTAACTTATGATTGGGCAGCAATTTTTCAAATTGTAGATCTATCAATTCCAACTGTCAGCTGTCAGTCTGTCTTTCCTTAATCTCCAGAACACAGATAGATGAAAGTCGGGAGCAGATACGAAATGCTCAGGGGCAGGAGGCCAAGATTATATATGAACTTCTGGTGCAATCTGGAAGTCATTATTGGCATGACTCTATTAGAACAGGATAAGTATGATGTACAGAGGCAAGACACTACTAATTTGAGGTGGAGAGCATATATTTTAAATTAAATAAATTAAAATTTTCAGCCCAGCATTGTAACAATGTCACAATAAATAACTGCTCATTATAGAATTACTTTTTTATCTTCGAGACAAAGATTCTGGATAAACTTAATTCACACTAAACCCGAATTATCATCATACTTCAGTTTTAATATAGATTTTCTTTTCTTTATTAATTTTAATTGATTGCCATTTTTGATACATTTGATTTTTTTTATCAATACGTTTATACCTTTGCACTTTATAGCAAAATACAAATTTTCCAGATAAAATTTGGAAGATAAACTACTTTTATTCATATTTTTAACCAATCTTTTTTGAAACGATGATTAAAATTTCAAATAAAACATGCAAAAAGCTTACAAACTTGTTTATGTTATAACGAAAAGCAAGTTTATGGATATTATCATTAATCCATTTTAGTTGTATGCAAATCAAACTCACTTATGAACAAAATCTTCCAGGATTCTATTTTGTTTAGTTGGTATATTTATAGAAAATTTAGTTTCAAAAGGAATTTCATGAAGAATAATAACAAGCAGATAATAGTGTTGTAACAGGAAAATTAATATTTTTACTAATAGTAAAAGTCCTAATACCAGTTTAATGTAGGAATTGAACTTCAAATATCTTGATATTTATTCAAGAATTTCATGTAATTTTGGCCATATTATTATATATATAAATTTCTAATAATAAATAAAATCCTGAATTATTTTGATCATACAAATTTTGCAGCTGCACAGATTGAAAATCCATAAATTAAAAGTATTTTATATATATATATATAGCTGGATAATTTTGGAACTTAAATTTTATAAAGAAAGGTATCTGTTTTTACTGAAAAAACTAAAAGGGACAATTTTATTTATATTCACTTTTTTTTTTTTTTATCAATTCATTAAATTAAAAAGAGATGTTTCATGTGACAGTAAATTTTTATTTCATTGGAATCAAACTGTCAACATAGAGCACAGTTGGACTGGAATCCTTGGATATAATTAAAAGTATCCAAGATAATCCAATCAGGCACATAAAGCCTTTAAGGCCCATTGAAATGCAACTGGCCCCAAGATAATGATACTCAAAAAGCATTTTCAAATTCAAATATGCTACCTCGTCCATAAAGGCAAGTATTCATAACGAATACAGGTATGCTGCAACAGAACTTAACTTTAGAGAATTGTCATACTTGGCTAGGAAAAAACTGATGAAAAATATCCACAAACAATGATATAAAAGAATGGTTTTGGAATATGTTTTGAGTCCCATCCCATAAGAATTCATTACTGAAAAATGAACTTGATACAAATATAGTAATTACACTGGCTGGATACCATATGTAATTGGCATTATGTCTGTATCAAAACGGAAGAACTATTAAATCAGCAGATGGTTGTTTCATTTGGTCTGCCTGGAAGCAGGAACTTAAAGAGAGGTATTTTGTCCATATGAAGTTAGTGTTTCCCAAAAATTATCACAGCAACTCATTATATAAACAATTACAATTCATCTAGGTCATAATCATCTAGTCCATCAGTAACTTCCAAACTTTGGAAATCCACTCTGTAACGTAACAAGCCTACAAAGAAAAAAATATATATTTAAATATTTGAATTATTATATAAAATAATTATTCAATTTAGAAATTTTATTATGTTTATTATAATTTCAAATTCAAATATTGCATAATACATAATAAATTAAGTTAAATAATATTTCTGATTAGGAACTGTCATACAATTTCTTAATAGTTGGAATAAGTTTTTGTGATAATATTCAAAAGATAGGAATTTTTCTAAAAAAGAGAATTCAGAGTACCATTTGGCCCACAACTCTAACATATTGGACAAGTACAAAACTAAATTTAGGATGCTCATTATCTATTGTTATGGAAATTAAAGTACCACATTCAAATAATTCTTTTCTGAATACTTAACAAAGTTAATATCCATGTGAACCGCCAGGGAGGTTGGGGTCAGTCTCACCTCCCTGTTCGGACAACAGGTTGTAAAACCTGCTCACTTGTAAAGATGGCTAAATTTACTATTACTGGTCTGAGGGTTGGGACTCTCAAATGTTGGTCGAGTGGAGGGAAGAGTAACTGGTGTCGATGATAAAGTGAAGGCTGTATACGAGTAAAGGAGTCTACTATTTTAACAAATAAAACAAGAATTTATTAAAATAAACTAAATTGACAAACTACTACACAAATCTCGATGCTAAACCACCTAAGAGCTCGGGAGAGAGTTTACACACTTTTTCATACCTCTTTGTAGGTTTCCATGTAGGCACTTAAATGTCCAATAAAAGGTGTCTTTAATCCAAATGAGCACAAACATAAAAGTTTGCGACTCTGGCGATGAATGGATATCAATATTAGAGGCTCGGACTTGCAGAGGGTTAGGAGATACGACTTGATGCCGCCAGTCCGACTTTTGTTAAGAGACTCCCCGGAGAGGGGGTAAGAAATGTCTTTTATAGCTTTTGTGGGGAAATTCCATCAAGTGATCGGATGTTCTATGAGATAAAGGTTATAGGTGTTCCAGGAACCTAAAACGAGTGATGAAATTTGGGTGCTAACTATAAACTTTTGTGCAAGTTGAGCTGCAAGTTATGCAAGAACAATAGAATGTTGATGATTATGACAGGAAGGTTTACACATTCCCAGCTAAAATCGGGTTTTTTCCAATCCATTATATAAACATAAAGAAAATAATTAAAATTTTAGTTAATAAAATTCCGGATATCACATCCATTTCAAATTTAAATAATACACAAAAGCAATACCAATGATATAATATAAACCAGAATTTATCACTTAATCTGTCAAGATAATCATCATCATACATTTCAAATTCTAGTAAGTTACTGATTTAATGTAATAGTTTTTATAATTCATGTTTGATTCAATTGACAACAATGTTAATTTGTCAGTGTTTGTAAATCTTTACATGAATAATAGTATATATATTTATATAATAATAATAATAATAATAATAAAATCATTAAAAAGGGACAGTTTTAGTTAAAAGAAGATCAGTTATACACAGAAAATAAAACAAAAACCACATATTGTAGTTGCAAATATATCTATCAAAAATATTATTATTGAAATGAATATGCATTTTGTGCCTTTCTTCTTTATGTTATGTTTGAAATTTCAATATGTATCAATTGCTTTGCAATTTGAACATCATCTAATTAATTTTAAAGTAAAATTAAGTCTAAAAATTCACCAGGAAATGAATAGTACATGAAAATGATAAAATTCAATTCTTTGGTTTAAAATTTGATCATTTTAAAGTTAATTCTTAACTGATGAGTTAATTAAAGTACAAATTAAGAAACTCCAAAAATTATAATTTCACCTAATTAGAAATTTTCAATCTTCTCTATTACAAAATTAAATATATGATTACACTGCATGAAATAAAATTTAAATACCACTTTTATTTTAATAAACAGCTGCAAGATGAAAAAATTTATAGACTTCACTCTAATAGAAAGCATTCTATCTATTGGAAGATGAAGCTTATTGTAAATTGAAAAATTGCAAATTCTATTTAGCACGGTCACTTTCTTATTTTATGATGAAATACAATGTGAGTTTCTGGAAAGTTACATTATTATTCAAATACAGTAGAGCATCAATTATCTGAATCAATTGGGGATTGGGATTGTTTGGAAAATTGATTTTTCGGATAACCGATTATGTACGAAAAAATATATTAACCTATCCCATATTGAAATTCATTCAAATCCTGGAAGGTTCTTAAGTACCCTCTCATGGTCGTGCCAGTGCTGCCAGCTAAAACATGCACACCAACAAAAATATTGGAGTAGCCCAAGACATAGCCAAAGATTGCAGTGCCACAGCACTAGTGGAAATTTAAATTTGCTGACAGGAAAGCTTTCGGTTAATTGACGTTTCGGTTGATCACGTTCGGATAATTGATGCTCTACTGTAATTATAAAGTGAAAAGTTACTGGATTTATTCCATTAATAGTTACTCTTGAATAATAATCACACCTAATCTTTATATACAGGGTGATCTGTTTATAATGTTATTCGAAATAACTTGAGAAATACTCATTCCAAAAAAGAAATGATATACTTGAAGAGGATCATATGATGGAACTATCAGTTTTGCTGCAGATAGTGCCAAAATTGGTAAAACTGACATTAACTTGAATTTCTTAAATGGTGATTTGGTGATTCCCATTTTTTATTACATATTATTTATTTTTTAAAATGTAGAATCTTAAAGTTTTATCTACAACATTTTTTCAAAAGATGCATTTGAAGTGATAAGCATTGTTGATTCACTCTCTATGCTCTTATATTTCAAAAAAACTTGTAGCCTGTGATAAATTTTGTGTAACAAATAGTTATTTAATTAAAAAAATATATACACTGTACTTATTTAATTCATTCAAAAAGTCATTTCAGATGACAATATCAGGTAGCACTGTTAACAGATTAAAACAAAAAGGTTATTTTGTTTTATCAATCCAATTCTTCAGTGCAGTTGCAAGCTGAAGAAAGTTATAGACAATGTACTGTTTATTAAAATACATTTAGTATTAATAACAAACTGCTCAAATTCTTAATGATTCAATACACACAAATTGATCTGAATGTTTGTACATACATATCAATTTATAAATAGTCATTTATTTATAAAACGTAAACTTACCACCAATACCACCAAATCCTTTAACAAATTGAGAACCTTCCTGAGATTTGTCTGTAATAATTTCTAACGTGGCACCTGGAAATATGATTATTTAATTAAAATAACACAATTTATAAAAATGGTGAATAGTACATGATATATATCTAAGACTATACTTATACAATTTGTACATCATCTAATATTTGTTTAATATATACAGTAGAGCGTCGTTTATCCAAAAGCCGATCAAGCAAAAGCATTCCAATTGGATTGTGTCGTGCTGAATTGAATGTTTTTGATACTAGATTAACTCCCAAAATATAATNCAGCCTTGGTTTTGTTTGCCAGGCAAAGATGATGATTCTATGCCTCTTTTTGGTTTAATGCCAAACAGGGCTTCATAAGGACTTTGGCATATTTCTTCGTGATATGTAGTGTTCTTGGCAAATTGTACAAAGGACAAACCATCTGACCATTTATTTGTATCATTATTGTTCATCCATGCAGTTAACATATTCTGTATATCCTGATTGGCCCTTTCAACTGAGCCTTGTGTTTGACTATGATGAGGCTTTCCATGAACTATCTTAACATCTTTCCACATAGCACATTGTTCGGATATGACTCGATTACATAATTCTCTACCATTATCTGAATGCAATATAGCTGGGGCACCAAATGTTAAAAATATTTGAAGAAGCTGTCTTAGTTTTCAAAGGTAGTAACTGGACAAATTTCATTAAATGATCTTGATACACCATTATGAACTTATATTTGCCATCCCTGTGTCTATCAGATCAACTTGACATCTTGAGTTTAAGTCATTGGTTTCACAACAATAACTTTTTTATGTGCACTATGTTTCATTGTTTACATAAATTTAAATACAACAATACAACTTCATATGTAATATTTTTGTATTTAAGTTGCAATTCTTTAAGCATATGTGTTCTTCCTCCATGGCCTGTTCTGCTGTGAGTTTCAGATAGTATACTGAACAATTTATCATTGGCAACATAATACTGTATATTCGTTTCTCCTGGTTTTAATGGTACAATTAATTAATTTCTCTTCATTATTAATTTTTAAAATGTCAAAATGTTTTAATCATCTATAATCCAAAGGTGTGCTGCACTTAGTTTTAGCAGAAATCACTTCAGAAAGTATTTTAGATTACTTTTCTTGAGAAAAATAAAAACAATTGTCTTCTCATTTACTTGCAATTAATGCACGTAACTTTTCAAAAAAAAATTCTTGGTTCACTTCAGTATTCATTCAATGTAAATTAGGGTATCGGATAAAAACATAAAATTTTAAAAAATGTTGCATGCACCAGTAAACCTTGCATAAAACTGACAAACAGCAGTGTTCCAGAGTATAACAAATAGATACCACATGATTTCAATTGCGGCAGAACAAAGGATTTGGCAACAGACTGTTGCCTTTCTGTCGACATCAGCTTCTCGGGTGTTGTTTCAACCTCCACCAAAGCTTATCTGTGATTGTTGACATACACCAGCGATTGTTCAAATGTATAATAATATAACCAAATATTCAATCTTTCACCAACATATTTTGTATGTGTTGACTTTCATTGGAGAATATCGACATTATCTAATTTTGGTCTTTCACAGTAACATATATATATATATATTATATATATATGTTATTGACTTTATTGTATGCAGTTTATTTTAGTAAATACAATTTCAGTCATATTCCATTTACTGAAATTGTTTTCAATGTTGTTTGTTAATACAATAGAGCGTCGTTTATCCAAAAGCCACTCATTCAAAACGTCGGTTAACCGAAAGCATTCCAATCAGACTGTGTTGTGCTGAATCGAAGGTTTTTGATACTAGATTAACTCCCAAAATATAATTTTTTTGTTTTTATATTTTTCAATATATTTATTTTGTTTGTACAAAAGCCACTCATTCAAAACGTCGGTTAACCGAAAGCATTCCAATCAGACTGTGTTGTGCTGAATTGAATGTTTTTGATACTAGATTAACTCCCAAAATATAATATTTTTTTGTTTTTATATTTTTCAATATATTTATTTTGTTGTACAAAACACAGAAATAATTTTAAATGATACAATAGCCACAATTATTATTTTAAAAATTTACGTTAGGCTTAACATCGATGAAAATTCGATGCGAAGCAAAAGCAACGGAGAAAAATTTCAACACGAGATAGGTTAATATATTTTTTCATACATAATCGGTTATCCGAACAATCCAGTCCCCAATTGATTCAGATAAATGACGCTCTACTGTATTATATTTTAATAATTATTGCACACCATAAATTTGTTATAATGTTTTCTTTAATTGTTGTTGTCGAAGTTTTCTTTAATATTATTTTTAAATTAAAAATGTTATAACATTTACTACTAGCTATGGTTATTTTAAAGTCAAGGATTTGAGATATCTATAGCTTTGGAATCCAAAGTAAATTTTTTGGATGGGCTAGCACTGATGCAAATGCAACTGAACTGCATTATGCAATCAATTTTTTCAAGATATTACTCAATGGTAATTTATGAAAATAATAAGCTGATCATTGAATATATTGAAAGAACAATTTTTCTTTCACCTTGACACCATATAGTGCATTTATTTATATCATGCTTTATATATTATTCTTCTCTACCTTACAAAATACATGCTTTCTTTGATGTTCATGACTTTTTGACCACCTTACATTATTATATAGGGTGGTTAAAAAGTCACGATCATCAAATGAAAGTCTATAACTAAGGAACTTCACTTTTGCTTGACCAATGGGCTTTGTCCCCCCAATATACACTCTTCATAACAAAAATTTTGTGATGATTCACCAATTCCCAATGCTACCATTTCTAGTATATTTATTTTTTTAATGGAAAAACTTTTAAGTTATCTATGGAATAATTTTAAGCTATCTATTATATATATAGTAGATATTAAATAAATGGATTCTAAGATCATTTAAAAGAAAAACATATTGTAAAAATTATTTCTTAAACTTAGAAAAAAAAATTTACTCACCGAAATTTTTATAATTGTTAGCTAACCATTCTAGAAGTGGCATGGATTCAACAAGCTCTAATTCTACTCCTGTCTATAAAATAAAAACAAAGATAGTTTCATCAATATAAATTTTCAAAAACCAATGTGAAATTAGATTAACCAACCTCTTTGTCAGTAAAATGTGTTCGATCTTTCTCTTGTTCAGGAGTCAAATGAAGTATTCTTTCTTCTGAAAATTATATTACATTTAATATAATTATATATAATTTACAAAAAAATCATCATTTTAAATGATTTACCATCCATGGCATGATTCTTCAGAATGTATCGTACAATATCCAAATTCTCCCAAGCTATGAGTATTTCCACTGATCCCATTTCTAAAGCTTTAAGTGTGTCATCAACACCAAAACAATATTTACCAGTATCTTGGGATATTTCATCAAAGTAGCGACCTAGAAGATATACCATAAAATTTTATGCATCTTATTTAAAAGACATACTTAACTATAAATTAGAAAATAGTACATAACATTTCTAATGCAATTTAAGAATTTAGTTTATTTCAATGTAACAAATTAATATATGGCAATATTAAAATATTAAATTAAAACAGTTGCTACTTCAAATAACAAANTGGAATAAAAAAAACTGCTGACAGGATGGGGTGGGAGACTTTTATCCACGATGTAATAGGAGTCAAATTCGACTGGACTACACTTAAACAAAAACAAAATTTAAAAATATTCTAAGATACAAGTATTAATTTGTATGTAATTACTTTCTTCACTGCAGAATCAGAGCAAATCATTTAAGGTTTAGACATTAAAAAATATTAAGTCAAAATTCAATTATTTGAATGTTACATTTAACAAAAATAACCATTTAATTCTGTATATAGAGTCTTGCTTACCATGAAACAAAACATTTCAGAGAAACAGTAAAAGCTTTGACCAATTATATGTTAAGTCAAAATATTCATTGAGGAGTAATATAAATTATCTAAAAATTTGAGTAGTAGTTATAACTGGGTTAACCTAAATGAAAATAGTTTGCAGAAAGGAAAAGTTACATGCTGTTCATGAAAAGGCAAACTAGGACAAGTTAACTATTTATGTATCTGTTTGTTATAATGAAAAAAAGTGCAATAACAATACTGAAAAGAAATGATTATATTAACCGACAAAATTAATTGTTGATAACAGTAAAGCCAAACTATTATACAAAAATTTATTTTTTAAAACTTTATTTTAGCATATACATTCTGTCAAATAAATACCAGGAATTGTCCATTTCAAAAGCCTGTGTAAAAGATATGAAAACAAACTTTTTGCTGTAAGTTGGTACTAGCTTACTTAATTGTCACGTAAATTTGTAGTGCCATCTGTCAATTTATTTACAACTGTTGGTTTCATTATTGAATGTGAAGTGTGATTTTTAAAATGGACAAAAATATCAAACAAAGAGTTTGCCTCAAATTTTGTGTTCTAAATGAAATTTCTTGTGCTGAGTCAGCTTTATCCAAAACATGTGCATACAAGGGATACGAAGCATTTAAAAATAGCTGAGAAGTCGTGGAAGACTTGCCTCATTTTGGTTGACCTTCAACATATTTGACTGACTAAAACATTGACAAAGTGAAGGAAATGGTGATGGAAAATTGTCACTCAAGCTTGAGAGAGATGGCTCAGAATTTGAACATGTCTCATGAATCCGTACACACCATTTTAGTTGATGTTTTGGGCATAACACATGTCTTAACACAACTTGTTCCAAAGGAGCTGAATTTTCTTCAAAAAAGAGTACCAGAAAAAGGTCGCTGAAGACATGCTTGAACAAGCCAATTCAAATCCTACATTCATGAAATGTATTAGATGAAGAGATGTGGATTTATGAGTTTGACATGCAACCAGCCAACAAGCTTCAGAATGGCACTTTGAGAATGAGCTGAAACCGAAAAAGCAATGTCAAAGTTGCTCAACAATCAGAGCCATATTGGCTGTTTTCTTTGATCATCGTGGTGTTATTCACTCAGAATTTCTTCCAGAGGGACAGTCAACAAACAATATTACCTGGATATTTGAGAGAGAATGTTCACTGAAAAAGGCCAGATTTGTGAAAGAATAATTCTTGGATGTCGCACCACAATAACATGCTGTCTCACACATTGACCCCTGTACGCAAATTTTTAACCAAAAACTCAATGTCATCGGCCAAGCACCATATTCACCAGATATGGCCTAGTGTGACTTTTTCCTCTTCCCCAAACTCAAATTACCACTTCATGGAAGATGATTTGAGTTGACTGAAGAAATAAAACAAAATTCACAGAGGGAGCTGCATGCCATACCAGAAAGTGCTTATAAAAAGTATTTTGATAACAAGATTATTTGTTGGCAGAAGTGTATTGCATCAAACAGGGCCTGTTTTGAAGGCAACAAAATAAATTTGGATGATTAAACCAATATTTTGTATTTTATTTAACAATTCCCAGTATTTATTTGACAGAGAGTATAGTGAAAATTTAATAGAATCAAATAAAAATGGTGACAGATATGAGTTAAAAATAACTGGAAAATTAAAGAGAATGTCTAATGTAGCAATCAGAAATCTGTGTTGACATGACCAAATAAAGATGGCAAGCACCATAAAAATTTATTTTTAATGAATAATAAATTAATTATAGATTTAGGGTAATGAGTAGAAATAAAAAGTATAATGCATTTTATTGATATTTATTTTTATCTAAAAAGGTCTAGACAAAGTTGAATATAGACAAGCATCAGATTTCACAGAAAACACATGGAAACAACTGCTGAAATTAATTAAAAATTTTAAATATGAAATAAATTAGTAAAGGAAGAAATATGAATATTTAATATCATCCAAGAATTTATCAAATAGCAATGTTTATATATTATATATTTCTTACATATGTCCAGAAAAATGTCATGAATTATCATATTTACTCGTAACTGTTTCAAATATTCATTCAATGATAAACTTTATAGGTTTTGAGATAAAAATTTCAGGATTATGGAAGAAACAAAACATGAAAAAATCTTTTGAATCAATAAGAAAAAAATTTCAATGTTGTTGATTCATTTTGCCATACAAGAACATTTAGATTTTTTTCCTTTGTGTATTTTTTTAGGTTAATAATTGATTCCTTGATAAAATTTTATAAAATTTAACAAATTAGAATTGTTGATAAATATAATTAACACAAATATTAATGTAGAAATAAAAATTAATAGAATTAAGATCAAAATACAAATAGTAAAATGAATAGTTCCAATGAAGGAATTTTTAAAAATAGTTCAGTCAAGTAAGTTGACAGAAGAAAGAAATACATTAAAGATTAATCAAATAATGAAACAAGAAAATTTAAAATGAATAAATAAAGAAGAAAAAAGAATTTATTGTTATTAAAAACTATCCAAAACAATTTTTATCTGAACTGCAAAAAGAATATTTTTTATCTAGGTATTGTAAAATATAATAGGATGACTATTAAACTTAAGTTAAAATAACGTTTTTAACTAGAAGTTAGTTACATAAGTTTCTAAAATTTTACAAATGTGTTATTAAATAAGTGTAATATTAATTTTCATAACCTTGTTTCATGCAATTAATAAAACATGATAATATTTCCAATATTTATATAAAATTATTATTTTAAAATCAATTATTACCAATAAGTTTCTTTTCCTGAATAAACTTCACATTTGATAAAACTTCTGCAGATAATTCTATAGCTTGATTAAAACCATTTTCACCTCCATAAGATACATCAACAAGCTTCAGAACTTTAGCTTGTAATCTCTGAAATAATTAATTAATTAATTGAATCTAATTATAAACTTATAATTATAATAATTGCATTTCAAAAAAGCACTTACAGGATCAAACATATCTGATTGACTAAGTTCTGTTTTAAAATCAGCAGAACCAGCAAGAACTAATCCTGCAATGTTTGGTTTATCATTCGTAATAAACAACTGCACAGCAACTTCAGCCACTTTACGGACATAGTTATGGCGTTTTTCCATGCGTAGTCTAGCAAATCGAAGGGCAGATTGACCACCACGTCCTATACAAAAGTTTTAAATTATATGATGTAATTCTACAATACATTTTAAAATGAAAACATAAAAAAATAGAGAAACATCATTTAATATTAAAAATTTAATTAATGAACATTACATAATTTATAGATACATCTTTCAATACAGATATGTGAGAGTCGAATTTAGGGAATAAATTGTTAAATAAATTTTTTGTTGAGGGAGGAAAAGTTTAAAAAAATAAACAACAAACCAACATATAAAAAAGAACATAAAAATCTTTTCCCACAAACTTAGTTCCTTGTCAAGTATGATACATCGAATGTGTCACCCAAAGACTATTGGTCAGTGGTGAAAAAACAGTCCTAATAAGGCAGTGGAAAAAACCCAATGAGACCCCCTTTATAAAAAAGGAGGGGTCGATGTGTAAGAGTCAGTCTCTGGAGTTTGGTGCATTGTGAATTTTATGTGAACGGATTAGCCACTACCCGGAACTAATCAATCACCGCTGTTCGGAAGGACTAGGCCTAAACCGACTAACAACGTTCAAAAGAACTTTGTGAAGTCTAGAGACTGGAGGACGAAATGACTAATCGACAATTTATAACAAGGTATTTATCTTCGCACGAAATACATGTGAGTTCTCTCTCTCAGGAATACGGGTAACGGAGAAGGAAATAGATATGTTAACTGAATCAATTGTATATAGCTTAATTCGAACAATAAACGGGCATTATGTATAGATTATGTAGAGTGTAATTCCTCTGATTCTCTCTTTATGCCTCCATCCCAGAACTAAAAGTCCACAACGCGACCGTTCACGTAACCAAATAAACGGCCGATAAATTTTTCCTGTGTCTGTTACAGGACACAGTGGTGTCATCCTGACAGGGCGCCAAAGAGGTGCCGACCCTGCGGTCACAGATACAGATATTTTTTATTGATAATATACCAAAGGTACATTCTCGATACTGTTTACACACAACTGGGTGAGTTGCGACAATGAATACAGTTTACAAAAAAAATTGGTAAGAGGACAAATACCGTAAATACATGTTGTTGGAGATAAGTGACTAAGACAAACTAATAGATGCCAAAAGTACAAGTTTCAGAACTGAGATAAATAAAACACATACAAAATAATTGAATGCAAAATACATAATGTAGAGTAAGTAACAATAGTGAATATGATGCTTGTCATGTACAGTACCAAAAATAAAGCAAACGTGTTTACATAATCAGAAAGGGTATATGTACAGTAGAAGTAAAACGTGGGCATGCAGGCCCTTGTACAAACACATAAACAGAGGAGATTAGGCTCAGAAGAGCACTAGGTGTAGGTAGGCACGGTAATTCGTTTAAAGCAGTGTTTTTCAACCTGTGGGTCGTGACCCCCCAGGGGGTCGCAGGTAAAAGAAAATGACAAGTGTTTGTAGGTCCTACACTACAATAAAAAACCTACAATTTCAGGGAGAATGCTGTGCCTGTTTATTTTACAGTACAATTGGTTCTTTTTAATCGATATTTAAATCTCTACAGAAAGAAAATTAAATACTTACAGTAGTTTTTAAAATCACTGACATAGTTTTAATATTGACATGGGGGGGTCGCCAGAATTTTTTAACTTGTAAAGGGGTCGCATATTCAAGAAGGTTGAAAAACACTGGTTTAAAGTACATGTTTACAAGGTTACAGAAGGAACTGTAGGTGTCCTTGTGCCTGAACAGACAAACAAAGTTAGAGGGAGGCCAGTTGTAATTATGGGCTTCAACAGTAATTTTTAGATGTAGACGCTCCTGTTCCACCATCGGACAATGCAGGATATAGTGTCTGCTACTGTCTATGGTGCCACAGATGGGACACATGTTGTCAGTTCTGCCCTTGAATCTGGCAAGGTATGAGAAGAAGGATCCATGATTGGTGAGCATCTGCATCATTTGATGATTTGGAGAATAAAAGTTACTATTTAGTAGCTGCTGGATGTCCAGTAAGTAATCGTGGGTGATGGTGTTGCTCTCATTCCAGTCCTGCTGCCACTCGATGATTAAGTCACTCCAAAGGATAGTTTTAATAGTTCTAATGTCCATTTTCTTATAGGATATGGGTAAGTCGTGATTACCTGAGGCCTCCTTAGCAAGGGCATCAGCCCTCTCATTACCATGTTGGCCCTGCTGGGCCCTCGTCCAGTTTATTTGGTAACGATAAGAGGAAGGGTTGATTGTATCGAGAATAGAGTTAGCAATTGGGTGTAGACTCCTGCCCTGGAGAAGAGCTAGTGCTGAGGCACTGTCAGTAGTGATACAGATGTTTTTATTCTGGAAGTTGCAGTCCAACCAAAGTGCTGCCATGTTAATACCAAACAACTCAGCCTGGAAAACAGAGCAGTGCTCTCCAAGCTGGAATCGTTGCTGAGCAATTTCAATGTTGTTGCAGAAGGCAACAAAGCTGCAACCTGCACCTGAGTCAGACTTCGACCCATCAGTGTAGATGTTGATGTCGGTGTTCTCAGTGATGCCAAAATGGATTTCGTTGGGGTTGCTGGGTGTCTTGAGTTGGCAAAAAACACAACTCTCTCAAAATCTTATGTTCAGGCTATTTGTGTTGATGTCTTGGCCCCATTTTATTTGCCATAGATTAGAGTGGAATGTGATAATTTTATCAATGGGGACTTCCTGGATAAGACTTGGATTGAGGCATTCGGTGTTGTACAATATGCCCTGGTAATTTGCAGGAATCTTTCAATACACACACACATAATATATATATGTGTGTATGTTTTTAGGACATTGTATTTAGGACTGTCTTTTGATGTTCAATAATTCTGTATGGGTTTTTGGAACCCCATATGACCAAGTTATGGTGATTCACTTTGCCTGAGGTGAAAGACCACCTTGTTATTAAACACAATTCTATCCAACAGTGTATTGTCCTTTTGAAGTCAGTTCAGCATATCAACACAAACATTTAGTCATTACTTCTGTAACTGGAACTTGTTTGATTTGAGTATCAATCTCTTGTGTAACATTCTCCAAAAGTGAAATGAGAAACATCATCCTATTCTCTACTTGCCCACATCTTATTAATTTTTATGGGCTAAGTTAGAACACTAACAGAATGCAATCCATATGTTGAAGATTAGATGATCTTCCCATGTTATTTCCCATGTATATTCCCATGATCTTTATTCACAAATAACTAGTTTAAATGAAGGATTTGTACCACTGGTAAATTGATTTTTCCTTGTTGGTAGCAAATTCATGTGGGTAGTACAAAATCATCACTATTACGCCATTACAGACTGAGTTTCATGCACAGTCTACTTTTTTCTGGACATGTGAAAGTCATGACTTTCTTTAGCACTACAGAATACAAGTGTGACAACAGCTCACTTGCAAAAAAAAAAAAAAAAAAAAAAAAAAAAAAAAAAAAAACATGAAAGTGTTACTGTGCATTTCAAAAAAGCACTTACAGGATCAAACATATCTGATTGACTAAGTTCTGTTTTAAAATCAGCAGAACCAGCAAGAACTAATCCTGCAATGTTTGGTTTATCATTCGTAATAAACAACTGCACAGCAACTTCAGCCACTTTACGGACATAGTTATGGCGTTTTTCCATGCGTAGTCTAGCAAATCGAAGGGCAGATTGACCACCACGTCCTATACAAAAGTTTTAAATTATATGATGTAATTCTACAATACATTTTAAAATGAAAACATAAAAAAATAGAGAAACATCATTTAATATTAAAAATTTAATTAATGAACATTACATAATTTATAGATACATCTTTCAATACAGATANCAGTTTAAACATAACAGATCTTTGACATTTTTCTATGATAAACACTACATATGGAGTAAAAGGAATTAAATAATTTTTTATCATTAACAACCACACAAAGTCAATTACTGATCCCAACCCAAAAATAATTTTATTTCATAGAAATAGTTGAATTTTTTAGAGAAAATCTTAGAATACATCACAAAATGGTATAAAACTTGATTTAAAAAGTTTTCTTAATTAAATATTCAGAAGAAACCAGTGCCGGGGTCATTTTATGGAAGGTTATTTTCCATAAAATGATCCAATCCCGCTCATCAAAGTTAAAAAAACCCTTACCATGCTTCTTTGGAAGATCTACAGTAAATTTATGCAAAACTTCTCTAGTGTTTCCTTGAAGTGTACCAAACAGGGCACCATTTCCATCCATTACAATAAAACCAAACTTATTATCATCTGCAAGTAATGCAGACAAAGCCTAAAAAAATAAGAAATGTTAATAAGTCTTGAATTTATAAGAGTAAAGTTATTAAGATGAAACATTGTTTATTAATATATCGGGGGATCTTAGTATGTTTATATATATAGTTATTATGATGACTTAATTTGATCAAAAATATCTATAATTAAAAAAACAAGCCATAGAAATGATTCAAGACAATCTTAATATAATATTAGTGATGAGATATAGAAATATCAAAACAAAAACATTTAATAAATAGAAGCTATTTATTATACATTATTTATGAATTAGATAATCCCTCATATATTTAGATTAATAGAATATTCATTACAAATTTCCAAAAAATAATTTCTTATAACTTAATAATAATAAACATTAACATAACATAAAGCAATATTAAATAAAAAAATTTTAAATTAATACTGTAAGTTTGCTAATAATGTAAATTTCTTATATTTCATGATTTTGAATTTCCTACATATATAAAAAGAGGAAACTTAATTATCCAAACTTGATTGGACCAGGAAACTGATTCTGAGCTCTTCCAATAGCTCAACGAAAGTGATACATGGGACATTCAATAAATCTCCTTAGCAAAAGACAGTTAACCTTAGACAAATTGCTATTCTAGGTTAAGTGTTAAGTAGATGGGTTTTGTTATGGATAATCAGTTCAGATGCATCTGGGTTCTATGCTATTTATAACTGTTATGCTTTAATCAATTACAATTTAATTAATATCGTCTTTTTGTCATGTGACTGCAACCTGCTGCTTTCCAAGTGAAGCGCGTGTTTTTAGTACTGTCGTGTACCAGTGCTAGTCAAATTTTTTTGTATTAAAATGTCATCAAAGAAGGAACAACGCAGCCAGCAAACTAAAACTTGTCAGTTTGAGATATTAGTTAAAACACTTTGACTCTACTAGGGCTGGATTTAAGCATTTTGAGTCCCTAAGCTGAAGTCTGTGTGATGCCTCTTACCAACTCTATAATTTTAGAAGTCAATCATATTAAACATATTAACTTTAATAATAATTATTTTACTGTTAAAAAGTAAAAGGGAATAACTAAAAATTTCATTTTCATCATTTTTTGATCGTAAAAAAAACATATTAAAAGCTACCTATAAAAATCAAACAAATTTTATTTATTGTTTTTATACTTTATTTATTATAAGGGCACATAGTTATGTTCTTTTCTTTACCTTAAATTACATTTATTTGCTGTTTTAACTTTATTGAAATAGATATTGTTTAGGGCAGGGGTGGCCAACAGTTTTTGCCCCGGGCCGGATTGGAAAGAAAACTTTTTTCATGGGCCGAACCAAGAAAACTTTTTTCATGGGCCGCCCTAGGAAGATTTTGAGGTGGTGCGAGATCTCATTGCGGTGTCACTCCATAGAGACTAAATTGTAGATAGAGATTACAGATACATTTTTCACATTATCATGCTTTATCAACATTCTATGCTGTACTTACGAGATTTGTAATGGAGGGTTAACTCTAAATGCACAGTGAGTTGTTGACCTTTTTTTCCAGGCGTCAGAATTTTTCATCAAGCTATTCAGACTTGAGTAGCTAATATTGAAAGATTGATCTCGGGCCATATAAATCTATTAGATGGGCCATACGTTGGCCATGCCTGATTTAGGGTCTGGGAATGGATTAATTCACTTTCCATTAGTTACAATAAAAAAAATTGCTTTGGACTTTGAATGATTCAAGTTTGAACAGCTTTCTGGAATAAACTAAATTTGAACTATGAGACACCACTGTATGTATTTTAAAATTCTTTTTATTATAACAGTACTAAATTTCCTCATTAAAAACAAAACAAGTTTCTTCAATGATCTTAATATGTACTCTTCCTCTGTTTTCTTGGATAAATGCAGAGAAATACACATAGTATTTATACAAAAAGAAATCTTTCATTCCATTGCATTATCAATAAATTTTAAGATTATATTTACCATTTACCTTGTACAGTACCGTACATGCTATATAAATTATTAATTCTGACACACAAGATTTATATCCATTTAAGATACTTATTTTCATTCAGTAATCAAATAATACTACTAGATTTATTTTTCAGGATATAATTTTGCTAATTATAAAAATATAACACAAAAAATTAATTATAAAAAAACTTTCAACAATATTGCTTAATTAGTACTTTATGTTGGACTTGTAATTATTTTCATTCAATTCTTTAAAGTACGTTAACCCAAATTTCAATGTATAATAATGGAATTACTAAATTTTCAAACTAAATAGTTGCAAAGTATTGCAAACAAACTTATGAATATTTTTGATTAGATACAACAAAAAGCTATCCTTTACATCCTGCATTTTATAATACCTAATATTCAACACAGAATTGAAGATTAGCAAACATAAAAAAAATTTGTTTTGTAAAACAATACATGCTTATATTTGGTTTTAAAGATATGTTTGCATTATATTAAACAATGCATGATGTATTAAATATAATAAAGTTTATTAACTTTATTATATTCAGTATATGCATAAGAAATTTTAGTATTATGCTTGATAAAACAAATTACCATCTTTAAATAACATTTAAAATAAATTCACTCAAAATAATTGAGAGATTCATATGAATTACTTCTGTTTTGTTGTTATATTTGAGCTCAATGACATATATTATATTCAACATTGCTTTTGTAGAAAAAAATTAATTAAAATTTCTCATTTAAAATATATTTTATACTTTATTTACTATTGTATTTTCATTAATTTCTTTTTTCTTTTAAATAGGAAAATATTCAATCTCTCAATTTCCAAGGATAATGGAATGAACAACACACATTTTCAAATAATTAACAATCAAACCTGACTTTTAATATCTAAATATCTATATTATACATTTTTGTTAATTAAGCTAATAAGTAAATAATCAATCTGTCAGCTTTAAAATTCTTAATTTTATTCTATTTCATTTTGCTTTATTTATTTCTAAATTCTAAACTATATATATATATATATATATATATATATATATATGTTTTGAAAATGCACATATTGTCTTAATTTCTTGCAGATTAATATTTTTAATTATGAAAATTTCAGAATCAAGAATATGCACTAGCAAATTCACAAAGACAATGAGAATACAACAGAAAAAAGATTATCATCAAAAGGAAAGTTTTGAAAATGTCAATAATCAAAACTGTTTACTTACCTCAGTGTGAAATTTGTTATCACACAAATACAATGATGTATTAATCGGTTTGAATGGTTCGAAATCAATATTTACTTTTTTTTCTTTTCCTTCCTCTGTTACTATTGTGCCACAATATATCACAAGGCCATTTGGTGGCACTAAAAATAATAATGATTAATTTCAATTTTAATTCAATAATTTTAACATAAAGATAAATTGAATTATATCACAAAAGAATAAATATAAATAAACTTTAATTCTATAAAATTTATATAAAAGGTAATCAATAGTGATTGGACGATTAATCAAAATTGAAAAAATGGGACATTTTCCAGGTATCGAAATAGGAATTGAGCAAATCTCATCAGGATTTCTGATTTTTAAAAACAGTTTTTCCACAGTTTATAAGAAAATTATTTGTTTCAGTTAAAGATTAAAAATTTTAAAATACAATATTAACAATTAAGTATTAGTTTGTTGGAAAATTTCGTGCTGACAAAGCAATACACAATGCCCTATACACAAGGCAATGCCTGTCATGGCAGACTTTTCTTTTGTATAGTCAGAGCAATGAGAGATTGCAATCAATCAGTACTAATTGTCCCCATTTTCAGGGAGATAGGGCAACTTTAAGGTTGCCATCCAACCGGCATTGAGCTGGCTTGACTGGCAATCTATATTCTGTATATACATTAATTAAAAGCAAAATGTTCTGTCACTACCACCACACACAAATTACATTTGATTTACAATTAGAAAATCTTAAAAAAATCTTTTATATCATTTTAAAAAACATTGTTTTAATTTTCAACTGAGATGATTTTATTTTCAGTTTTAGTTTTGGTGTAAAGACTAGAGTTTTAATTATTTTGTAAAAAAGACTCCCAGATTTTTAAATTTTTAGACTCTGGACCTTGAAATGTTGAGAAATGCAAAAAACTTTGGGGGTATTTTCTGTATATATGGATGTTAGTGTGTGTGAAAGAGCACCATTCTGTTCACCCTGTTTGAAGCTTAATAACTCATGTGCTCTTTGTTGAAAATTTCTGAAATTTTGTAGGGAGGTTTGTTTATTAGGGGAATTGATGCTATTAAATTTTGGTGATTAAAGTTCGAGGGGGTGGTGAGATAAAGGGGATCATGTGTATCTCCAGTAGGGTTAAAGTTAATGACAATTTTACTTGTTATCATCATTTACAATCCTTTATAAAAATCCATCCCTACTCTTAAAATTAATCCTTTTGCCATTTTATAATAGTTAAAAATATTAAAAAATTTTAAAATAAATATTGTAAAGATGGCACCACATGCACTTTTAAATATTGCCAGGAAAGTTAAGCAATTCGTTGTTGAATTTTTTGTTTTGCAACATAATTATAGAAATTGTTTTAGTGTTGTTTTTCACAAAAAATAATCAAATTTAAATTTATTTTAATTTTTTAGTAATGCCATTAATTTTTATTTCGTAAATTTGTCTGCTTTTTAAAAATTTTAATTATAAATGCATTAACACTGATCGAACTATCTGGCTATCTAGTTTCAAATCAAACTAGCAGAAGACAAAACAGTTTAAAATTTAAACATTATATTATATTTCAATTGAAAAATATTATATAAAATTATTTTTAACAACTTATAATGATAAAATGACTTTTCCATTATAATTATGAAAGTTTTTGTTATGATTCACAGATGATGCTATAATATGTTAAATTTTCAAATGAAATTTGCACAATTCTGAGTAAAAATACTCGTTCACACTAAGTTTACTGCCATTTTGAGTTTTAAAATTGATTTTTCAAGATTAGTCAGTGTAGAAATTTATAACTCGAGTGAATAAATTCAAAAATTGGCTAACTCGTGACAAGAGTATTTGTTTGGCTTGTTTCACCACTTGGCAAACCTCATTTAGTATAAAATGCAATGGAGTTAAATCATTTCCAAGACATGTCCATTGCAAGAGGCATGAAAAAAATGCATCTTCTCATTTTCTTTCACCTCAGTCATTGTGTTGACCAATGAAGAAGTTTCACCGAAGATGGCAACCCTAAATGATAGGATTGAATAATTCATTGAATAAACTGGAATTAGCTGTAATTTCTTTGGTGGTACTGTTGCAATATTAATGTTATCTGAAATAAAATTACACATTTATTTTGTAGTACACAATAAAAGCATGTGTACCCACATATAAATGGAGAATTTTCAAAAGATTGATTCTGGATTTCCCAATTGCTTTTCATTCTTAAGCTTGATGTGCATTAACTATGAATGTATGGTGCTCATAATGTAAATCATTAATTTTTCTGAACTAAAATACACTTTACAAAGTATTAAAAAATTATATCAGGAGAAATTTTGGTATTGTCCCATCACTAGTAATCAGGTAATCAAATGAAAGTAGAATTCATGTGTAGTAGTAGTACAGTCAATTCTCAGTTAACCAGCACCAGTGGAGATTGATAGATGCTAGATAAATGTAGTTTCTGGTTGCTTGAGAGTTACTACTAAAAATAGGCCTAACACTGTACCTCATTTGTTTTTTCTGTCACAATTAAGTGCATAGATAGATACTAGGCATCTTTGACATCACTCTTTATTCAGGAATATCTTGTGGGCTGATATGCATTTTGGGCATATGCCCTCTTCTGTTGGCTTTTCTTATATCTTGTTAGGATATGTTAACTAATATACTAAGTTTTAAGCAAGATGTATATTAGTTAGCATCTCCTAACAAGATATAAGAAAAGCCAACAGAAGAGGGCACATGCCTGAAATGCATATCGGCCCACAAGATATTCCTGAATAAAGAGTGATGTCAAAGATGCCTAGTGTCTGTCTATGCACCTAGTTGTGACAGAAAAAACAAATAAAAGACGACATGGTTTCAGAATAAGCAATAACCGTACTTCATATTATAAATTCTGTATTGGATTGATGTTAATATTGAAATACAGTAATTAAAAGCAAATTAAGAAAAAGATAAACTTAAGTTGGGTGAGAACACACAATTTGGACAACATATCCCAATCAACCAATATATTTACACTTGGTGAATTGAGAGGAGTAGGAGACAAACATCCAGTGCAAGCCACACCAAGTTTAAACTTACATTTCCACTAGAAATTGATTTTTAATTTTTATTTAATCAATTTTTTTGCTAGTTGCTTGAGTTCTGGTTAACAGATAGTCTACTTCTATCAGACTATAGAAGTATGACATTGACTGTAACTGTAATTATTCACTTCTGACTAGAACTAAATAATTACAGTTGAATAGTGTCCATTGATCAAGCTACTTCTTGCATATTCTACTTTCATTTGATTTCTATATACAATAAAGTATGTGAAAGGCAAAATCTCTTTAAGGTAAAAAGTTGTGAAACCAGAAAATTAGTTATTTTTTGCATTACTATCAAATTTTCTGCAAAATATGTCCAATTTTTCAAACATGAAATTTTCCAATCTCACAGATTCTGCTAGAAATGGAACAATACTGTACATGTTATATGCTTCTGCTATTAATTCATATTAGTTAGAATCTATCAAAGATAAAAACTTAAACATGTATTGAAGCCCAACACAAAAGTATTAGGAATAAAATCAAATCTATTGTATAATTGAAGATATTCATCCCAAAAGAATAAGCAAAATACATTCTCTTACTAATTCAAACTAATTATTGTAGGGACTTTCAAAGTGAAAAATTTGGATAAGCAAAATTATATATAAAGAAAAGACAGAAAAATGACTAGGAAAATAAAGAAAAAATTTTAAAAATACATTTGTGTAAAATCTTTTTATACTGTACAATAGAGCGTCATTTATCTGAATCAATTGGGGACTATGGTTGTTCGAATAACTTATTTTTCAAATAATCGATTATGTACAAAAAAATATATTAACCTATCCCATGTTGAAATTTTTCTCCGTTGCATGTCGCTTTGCGTTGAATTTTCGTCGATGTTAAGCCTAATGTAAACTTTTTAAAATAATAATCGTAGCTATTGTATCGTTGAAAATTATTTCTTTATTTTTTACAAACAAAATAAACATATTGAAAAATATAAAAACAAAAAAATTATACTTTAGAAGTTAATTAATCTAGTATCAAAAACGTTCAATTCAGCATGACACACAGTCCTCAGAAAAATACCACACAAAAGTGTCAGTGCTGCCAGCTAAAACACACACATCAACAAAAAAAATATTGGCGTAGCCAAGATATAGCCAAAGATTGCAGTGCCACAGCACTAGCAAAAATTTAAATTTGCTGACTGGAATTCTTTCAGATAACTGACTTTCGGATACACGATGCTTTACTGTATTTGGTGCAAATATTTATGTTAAATTATGTACTACATATTAATTTTACAAATTCATTGTTTTTAAAATATTCTGTTAGATATGCAAGAGTATCATATATATGAGCCGTTCACAGGCCAAATCGATTAACTCCATTTGTAAAACCTTGATATAATCATCATTATTATTATTACATTTTTCGTGTAACTAGTTTTATATATTGTTACATTAAAGCTATACTTTAATATAACAGTATATAAGAATACATTCTACAATGTTTATTTAAATTTAAAGTTTAAAAATAATTTATATTATCAATTTTCCTACTTTTTGATTTTTGGAGTTAATCAATTTAGCAAGTGAGCAGTTCATATCACAATCAGACTTGTGTAATCAAAAATTTTTACCTTTAGTATAAAGTTTTAATCTATGTTGTACAGATGTAATTGCTCCAAGAACTGAAAGTCTATTAACCCGACTTTTAATGTTAGATGCTGTACCAAATTCATCAGCCAACATTTTTGAAACCCTTGAAATTTGGTCCTTGGGTGGAATTATTAATGATATCATACTAGTTCCATTGCTAAAAATAAAAAATATTTTTAATAAACTCAAAAGCATACTAATACCACCAATATTAAAGTAATTTCTTTAAATATTACTATTAATATTAACTAAGGAATCATTTAATTGTACATTCATTTTTTTTCATCAAACTACACCATAATTTTATAGTTTATAATTATTTAATACGCAGAATTAATTCCATATTTAATTAAAATGAAACAAATCTGAATAAAATAAAAATTCATTAAATTTTTAATTTGCCAGAAATGTTTTAAAGATGATTCATCTTCATATGATCCTAAATAAATCAGTTTCTAAATCAAACTTAAAAATTATCAAATATAATTCACATTCTAGAGTTAAAATAATTTAATATTCTTAAACTCAAACAAAAAACAATTTAGTATTCAAGTTTAAAAATATTAAGTTTTAAAAATTTAAAAATCAGAATAAAAATTATAATATCTGAAATTTATTTTAACCTATGTGATTTAAAAACTATTCTATTCAGAATACAGCATGTATTGAACTGAAAGATTTAAAACAATCTTGCTAAAAAATTAATAACCTCTACTTTAGTCTAAATTGTTTCATTTATAATATATTAAATACATCTTTGACAATCATATATTAAATGACAATGTATTGTCAGTCTTTGGTGATAATTCACAATGTTTTCTACAATTCAACTTTCCAGTCTGATAATATTCATAAAATTTATAAACCAAATTACACTTAAACAGTTAATAATTCACATAATGTATGCATAAATTACATGTACAGTAGAACCTCGAAAACTCGACCTAATGTGGACCGAAGGGTGGCCGAGTTTGTGAAAATGCCGAGTTATCGGGAATGGGGTTAAAAAAAAATAAGTACGAGTATTTCCTCAGAAAATACTGTACTGTACTTGTACAGTATTTACTTGTACAGAATATAACAGAGAATAAACTGCCCAAATACCCTTAAACAAAGGAAAAGTACGTCCTTTATGAAGGCATAGAGCCACTACATGAAAATGAAAATTAATGAATACACTGTGTACAGTAATTTACCTGATAAGACAGACCTCAGAAAAATACTTTATGAGAGCTTTTATACTTTTATAAAGCTGTCTATAATGAAAATTAATTAACTAAGGATTTTTTCGCCCTGCCAAGGTGTGGACCAGTTATCCGGAGTGCTAAGTTATCGAGGGACGAGTTTTCGAGGTTCTACTGTATAATATTGTTCATTCATCTACTTGAATACTTTTTTTGTATGCAAACAAATGGAAATCATTTTTCTTTTTTAAAGAAATCATGTTACCACCAAAATATTTAGTTTACTGATTTTATCTCTATGTAGCAATCTTTGATTTTTGTTTAAATCAATAATTTTTAATAATCAAAATAATTCTATATTTATTACACTAATTATTCAATATGTGAATGAAGAGACATAGTCAATTTTCAATTAATAATTTAATTTCCATTTATACTAATCTTCGACACAACTGTAAATCAGTTTAACAGATTAAATAAAGATCTTTCTCAAACATAGCACTATTTACTAAAAACTGTTATAACAATAAGAATATGCTTAATTAATTAATGAATCATAGCCTGTACCAGAGATGGCAAACTTTTTGAGACAGCATGTCATATGGTAAGCATACTTGTCTAGTGATCTCGCTACCAGTAATCTTTTTGCTTCTTTGCGACAAGCAGTGTAATTTAGTGACAACTGTCTGCAAATTCATGAAAAAGCAATGGAAAATTTCAAACTTAGACAAACAATAGTTTCCTGTATGATGATGCATTTTTGTACATTTCAGAATTATGTCAAAAATGCTTTAATACAGTAGTCCCTTGTTATATCACACTTATCGAAAAACAAAGAAAAAGCACAATATAACAGAGTACTAAAAATTCTGTACTTTTATACATGCTATAGAATCTCTATCATCTATTCTTTCATCAGCAAATGTTTCTGGTATAAAATAAGCTTAGTTTTGCAATACTGAATTTTATTCATGGTTATATCATATTAAATAATGTTTGCGGAAACATCAATACCACAAACGTCCATTTATCGTTATTGTTTCTTTAATAATGACATTTAAAGACAAATACTGTCGATATAAAAACAAAATTTTAGTTTTGATTTTATTATATAGCACTGTATTTCCCAATAAAAATTATAAATACAGTAATTGAAAATTTAAAAAATAAATATAATAGAACATCAAAACTTATAAAATTACAAAAGTAAAAATTCTCTAAAAAGGAAAATAAAGTTACTACTGTATAAAAATTTTATAACTTTCAGTTCAGAAATAATGAAATCTTTTCCTTACACATTACTCAGTGAATTCCAAATTCACCTGAATTGACAGTTTTGCATCAATTCACATAAAGGTGTGAAATTTTGAATTCACAGAAACTTGTAAATGAGGAGACAGTACTTAAAACCAATAAATAAACAACTTTTAATATCAAAAGAAAACATAAATGATAATTGATCTGTCCACCTGTTTTGCTTATTTAGATCTTGATAAATTTATTGTTTCACCTGCAGTGGTAGTTTCTAAGACAATGATAGGAATAAAATACAGTATTTCAATAAAATTCAAATTCAAAGAAATTCAATGGCAATTGATATTTTAAAATTCATTGACTCAAATACTTTCAAAATTTTACAAGGAGAAGAAAACTGAGATATATCTGAATCCACGATATAACAAGGGGGTACTTTATATCTATGGGTAGATGGCAAAAGTGTAATGGACCAAGATAACTGTACAATAACTTTAAGTGAAATTATTATGATATTGGTTTTAGTGAAATAAATCTCATTAAAACCCCAATAAGCAATACATTAGATGTAATAAATGTTAGTAATTTGATGAATATGTCAATTAATGGTCCACCTCAAAGAGAATTTGATTTCCAAGCTGCCTTTACTGTGCCAGAAAAAACAAATGCTTTCACTGTGACCTTAGTATGACTATGAGTAAGTTATAGCATTTCTAATTTTGTTCTGGCTGACATCAAAATAAAATCTACAATTTTTATTGTGTTGAAAGTATTTTTTTTACATTACTTGTTTTGCTACAAAATTTTAAATTTTGCTAGTTTTCAAGGCAACATTAACAAAAAAAAAAAAAAAAAAACAGATCTGAGAAAGCTAGAGTTCCCTACTTGATTTTAAAAAAGTTTATGCATATTGAAGTTTTAGACTTCAAATAATATTTAAATAAATGAAACAAACATGCTTAAATTAGAGTAAATGTAAAAAAAATGATCTGGTGAAAAACTGAAGGATGAGTGAAAAAGACAGGTGATAAACCTAAATTATATGATATATTACTAGCCAGTAGAGTCTTTGGTGTCATTTTGGACATATGATCCCACACACAACCCTTGGCACATACACACAAAAAGCACTTTGCCTAGCTATTTAGGCTTCTTCAGTTTAATTAAAACAAAAAAAAAAATGTTACAGATATTTCAATTTTAAGTTTAATTTACTGTTTTGTTAATACACTAGGGACAACATGACCCATTTCAATTTCATCCATTATTTGCAGACCTGATTCAAAATGAAATTGGTTAACATGGATGAAGAATGAAGAATGATGCTCCTTAAAAATCTGCACAATTAAAATAAATAATTGAATTGTGCCACAAATTCAGAGAAACAATCTGACAATTAACAATAGGTATGATAGTTTAACCTTTGTTTGATCACATATTGGTTAAAGTAACTAAGCAATTTTTATATTTTGCTGTTGTCAAACTTCTCTTTTTTAATAAGAGATATTAGTTAATTGATTTTTACAGCTACTCCTGAACTTAGAAAAACATCTGCATTAAAATTCTGTTTATTATTGTTCTTTATAAAGCCTAACATTAATTTTCTATCATCAATTTGACTGCAAATCAGCAAGTTATTTTATTAGGTTATTTTATACAATGGATGGTCAACATTATTATGCTTATAATGAGCATAATGGTGAAAAATTTATTACCAAAAGTTAGGTACAAACATAGTTACTTTTCGACATAATCGCCGTGAAGATTGAGGAATTTGTCATATCTGTGAACGAGCTTTTCTATCCCTTCTTCATAGAATGTCACTGCCAGTGAATTGAGATGGCCTTACAACGTTGTTTTGAAGATCGTCATTAGTCTCAAACCTCTGCCCTACTAGCCACATTTTCAGTTCAGGAAAGAGGTGGAAAAAGATTTCCACTAGCGATGTAACGAATATTCGGTTACTATTCGTTATTCAGCCTATTTTTGCTATTCGGCCGAATACTGAATATTTAATCACTATTCGGCCAAGTACCGAATACCTAAAAACAGGAGTAAGAAATAACAAAAACATAGTAAATTAATCATTTTGGTATTTAGATTTAATGTTATCGGTTAGTGTTGTTTGTTTATATTTATTTATAACTTATAACATGCACAAAATAAAAAAAATATTATTAGTCACATGTATTCACAATTTATAATTACAAAGATGAGCACACGTACACACCTATTCGTTTGAGAATCGTCGCATATCTGACAGTGAGGATCTGACCCTGCCTATCCTTTTTAAGCACTCGTCTTTGCTCTTCCTTTTCTCTTACCTCTATCGCTCTAGTCCACATATGCCTATACATACATCATAATATGTGCTCATGATACTTTCGATTCGTCACTTTTCCATCGTAGATTTCCCATTTTACAATTACGTGACTCATAGCCTGTTGATAACGGAGAAAAGAGACAGACAGGACGTTGATATAAGTCACAGTTATGATTTTACATATTCAAGACAGCTTGGTAGCCAAAACAGCCTCAGGCTTTCGCCTGTACACACTAAGTGACTTTCATTACAAGCATTTAGATTTCTGAAGTCTATGACAACAATTGTTTGGCATTGATGGCCGCGAATTTCACGCCAATAAGCTGCCTTGACTAGTTTGATTACATTATTAACTCAATTTCATATTTATTTTCACATTTTCACTTCATGGTCCTTCTCTCTTCTTTTTCCGTTATTTACATGTGTAGGTCATTTCGTTGTTAGCCACATTTGATATCATCACTTATCGCATACTGCCATAACACTCATGTCTGTCCGCTTCAACTGTCAAGAATTAACACAACTGGCAAAGCGTAGTGACAGCAGGCCAATAGAGAACGGGGTCCTTGCTATTGAAAATTGGTTTGCGCATCAATTTTCGTACTTGTGTTAATCGAGCCGAATATTTGGCTATTCGGCCAAGCTCCTGGCTGAATATACTATTCGTTGCAACACTAGTTTCCACCTTTTCCTGAACTGAAAATCCATCACCTTTAAACACCCAGTGCAAAGACCTGATTTAGTGTTGAGTGACTTTGAGACTAATGATGATCTTCAAAACAACATAGGGCCCACACATTTTAGGTCATCAGCAGCAACATTCTATGAAGAGGGGATGGAAAAACTTGTCCACAGATAAGACAAATACGTCAATCTTCATAGTGATTATGTTGAAAAGTAACCATGTTTTTACCTAACTTTTGGTAATAAATTCATTTTGTTATTTACACTTGTCTTTTTTTTTATGGACCATTGGAGGTTGAAAAAAACCAGCCTACATAGATTAATTGATGAGTTTAAGTTTAAGATTAAAGTTTATAGATTAAATTTGTTATTTTATAATACATAACAAACTTACTGATTTTATAGCATGAGTCAGGACATCAAAGTAAGATTGCTAAATTTATATCATATGCTAAATTTAGGGTTCCTACTGAAATTTTTGTTTTGAATTCTCTGACCAACTTTGTCCAAATTCCCTGACCCTCACATTTCTTACAGTGTGGAATATCAACATAATAAAATAGCATTTTATTTACTGTGAACATTGAGTTCATCTATCCCTCTTTTTGCACAGTTGATATGTTTCAGACTGCCACATTAAAAAAATACAATACATACATTCTGTAGAAAAATGCTTGATAGAATCCACAACTTCAATGTAATGAAAAAATAAGCAATTTACAAATGCAACATGAGCTTTTTATTTTATCATCATTTATTATTATTATTTTTATGTAAATCTAGTAAATATAAGATAGCATAAAATCAACAAGTATTCTTTGATATACAAATAGTAATGTACTGTGGTTAAAATGAATTCAACTTAAAAACAATTTTAAAACCAATCTATCAACAAAAAGAGTAACTTTTTAAAAAAATTTCAAATAAAGCATTTTTTCCCTCGTTAAAAAATCAATCATGTAAAAAAAACAATTAGTTTTCTTTTGTCAACCACATTATTTCAAAATTGCATAAAAATTGTATATAAAGAGGGATAGGTGTAAGTTTACACTATAGCTTTGCTAACAAATGTATCTAATTTATTGTAAAATCTTTTTATTTTTTTATAAAATGAACAATCAAAATACAGAGAAACTTCTTAGTATTAATTCTCTTTTTTCAAAATACAGATAATTAAAAAAAAAAATTAATTACAATTCACAAAACACAACAACTTATATTAATGTAGCTTTATCTTTTTCTTCTCAAGTGTATTTATTTTCATTTTAATCTCTTTTTCTTCCTTTTCATGATCTTTTCTTAACATTTTCTTGTGTTGTTTTAAATCCTTAAGTTGTTGTGTAAGTTTTCTTTTTTCTACAGCCCTCAATGCCTGCTGCTGCTGAACATCTTTTTTTCTGTTGCAGAGATGCAATACATCGCTGTCTAGATCCTCTGACTGTTAACATTTTCTGGTCTATATTTATTTGATCAATACCACTTGCAAAATGGATCCCATCATCATAAACTAAGCATTGAGCAACTAAACTTTCTTCCTTAAGATTTTCACTCAACAGTGATTTGTTAACCAAGAAACCACTCTCAACATTTGCATTCCTATATGAAAAAGAAAAAAATTTTTGATAATAGACTATAGATCTTAGATCTTCCAGTTGCCTATCATCCTTCATATTTTCACAATAAAATGTGTCCAGACCATCATCATCACTCCTTTCAGATATGAAGTCGTCAAACTTTGTAGAATAGGGTTTTATGGACACTTTATTGCAGAGTATATCATACTGTTCTTTTGCTTTGACAGCACACTTCTCATCAGTCCTGTTTGTATCATGTAGAACCTTCAATAAAATATTGAAATACAATTTTCCAACATTTGATTGCATTTTAATAATTTCTGGGTCTAAGCTGCTCAAAGCCTTCATACATTTGTACTTGACAGGTACAGTACCTTCTCAATAATCTTTTGTGCCATCATTTTCAGCACATTTTGACAATATCTTAGAAAACATAGAAAATCTTTGTCACTTATTTTCAATTCTTTTAAAACCTTTTTTGCTCCAAAACCAATATACAAATTCTTCAGATGTACCAAGTACCAAAAAATTTAATGTGAAATTGTATTATTTTTTTGTGGGAGACAATTTGGGCACACAACAAATTGTGTTTATACTTTGAGCACATTTTTTCATTGTTTATAGTTCAAACTCTAAAGCAAATTTTTGTTGAATTTAGTGTTTGAAATTAGATTAATTTGAAGTATAAGGTACCATCGTAATTATAATTAATAAACTTTACATTTAAACATTTTTAATTGATTTAATATAGCCTTTTACAGCCAGAGTCAATAAAACCAAATTTACAAACATTGGTATGCAATTCATTTAGTAATTAGCCTTAAACTAGCCCGATAAAATTTTGGCATTTGGTTGGTGTTTAGCTATAAAACCAAATTTCAACTAACTCTTGTTTTATTTACATACACTATTTAAAATAATCATTTAATTATTGATGTAAGTATGACTGAGTCTCAAAGTGATTACAAGAAGTGAATTCTGCTGTGTATCTGAAAATACATCCCTTCCAAAAAACAAGCACAAAAGTGAAAATCATACACAAATCAAACTACTGCAGCAATTTATTTCAAATTGTGAAGTAACATAGAGCAGGACTCTGCCTGTTACTTCAACATACAAAAATGTTTTGAATGTATAGTATGACATTCAAACAAATTAATAAAAAAAGTGACAAAAGACAGATCATACTAGTAATTGAGAAATGTTTCTCAATAAGGTGTATGACCTGCTCTTACACTAATGCAGACTGCACTTCAACAATTTGTTCAGACTGTCAGATGATCAATAAAACCAAAGGCAGTAATCCCCATTGTTGTATAAGAGCATGTTGGAGTGCTTGAGTAGTGTTTGGAGGGATTTGGCAGGAAGCTACGGCTCTCCCAAGAGCATCCCATAAGTGCTTTATAAAGTTCTGATCTGGTGAATAGATTGGCCTCTGCATTCACCACTCTGTATGAACTCTATGTGGTTAGGCATTGTCATCCACAAGAACAAATTCAGAACCAATTGCACCCACAAAGTCATACATGTGTGTCAAGGATTTCATCCTAATATCTTTAACCAGTCACAGCATCACCATGGAAGACAAAGATGTATGCCTAAGGAAATACTAACCTATACAAGGACACCATAACCAGAAAAAGAATGTTGTTGAATGATGTTAATCAGTTGATACCAGTCTCTCTCCACAAAAATCCATTGTCTTAGTCCTGTTTACTGATGACTCATGAGTAAACAGGACATTGCTCCAATCATCTGTATTCCAAGTGACATGTTCCTAACAGCATTGAAATGGGATGCTCTGTGATTTGCAATGTTTGACCTTTGCACAAAAGAACCATGTATGTGCAATCTCCCTCTTACTCCCATATTCACCAACCCGAGTTAGAATTAGGGTTAACTCTCAAGTTATTGGTAAATTGGTATTCACCAACTCCGAATCTCAAGTCAAACACAATAATCCTAACTCTAACTCTAGAAAATTGGTGAGTAGACGATAACTCTAGGTTTGATGTCTGCGCAAAGCAATCTATTTCAGGGAAAAATGGTGACATTTGACAAGGACAAAGCCGAGATGCTAGAAAATCTGAAATATCTAAATTATATAGATCGTATGGAATGAAGAAGTCGGCAGATTATTTCTCCAAGAAGAAATGACCTTGAACAATTGGATGATTATGACTTTCTATGTCGATAATGTTTGCCAAAAGAGAAAATAAGAAACATACTAGAATGAATTGATCACAATTTAGTTTCTACATCATCGAAAAATTACACGATGTTGCCGGCTCTATGTTTTTATGCCACAGGAACATTTCAGTTTGGCATGCACTATTTTCCATTTCACTTTCTGCTATTTTCTATACATGTTTGCTTTCAACCAATCAAGACTCTGCTTATGAAAGACGACTCGTATTTTGTGATTCTCTGCTGTATAATATTTTAATGCATATGTTTTCTGTATCATACAACTTGTTAGTTTATCCCCATCTTTTGTATATACTACACATGTAATGTTACTGTAGCCTCTAATGTTAATGATCTGCAACAATGCCAATATATTCTTGTCTGCACCTGGTTATATGTCTATGACACCAGGTATGTACTGTAACTCAGTATTTTATTAATAAAATGAACCTGAATCTGTTTAATCTCGAACGCAGGATTGTTTTAAAACATTAACTCTAGAGTAGCAAAACTTTACAGTTATATTTTTATCTGAATATGAAAGAAGAGTAACTTGTATAATCTGATTTCAAGTTACGTCTAAACTGAAGTTCGTCAACTCTGTTTAACTCGCGTTGGTGAATATGGGGGTTACAGTAGTCATGGATACAGGTTTCCTCACAGCTGCAACAAAGCTTGAACATAAAGTAAGTGCTGCTGCCTGCCTATTGAATCTGACCAATAATGTTAAGCAGTGGTCATTGGAAGATATGATAACTCAAGGGTAATCCAAGTCTGGCCTTCTGCTTACTATTCCAGTGATTTGGAATTGGGTCCACAGGCATCACAGAACAGTGGACTCCGAAGAATCGAGCAACTTCTCCAATAGTTTGACAGGATTCTAACATACAGCAGAACCCCTCTAATCCGTCACCTTTGGGACTGGGGGTATGGTCGGAACGCAAAAAAGGTCGGATTATCAGAAAAAAGTAAAATAAACAATCTTCTCATTCGTCTAGTCTTTGTAGCACTGCTAATTTTTCATTTAATGAAAGAGTAACGTGTTTACGTTTCACTCCTGACATGTTGAAAACACTCACAAAACTGTACATGTACACACAATTTAAACATATACTGTAACAAACACAGAAAAACGCCATGGACGGTGAGTCACCCACGAGTCGGGACAAGTTTCTTGACTCCGACCACGGTCGGATTAACCGGAGTGACGGACTAGCTGAGGGCGGACTAGAGGGGTTCTACTGTATCCAAAATTTGACATCTTTGACTATCAACTAAGGTGCATTAGCATTGCCAATGACAATGACAAAAACTGATGTTTTTATCATTTGTCTTTGTCTGTAAAATGTTTACACTAGTTGTTATTAATGCAACAGAACTGGCCAATCAATGTGAACTTCCCACAATTCTTTGAAAAAGATGGAGGAATGCTAATCTTGTGTGTTGAAGAAAGATGCCCTATGAAGCTTAATAAATGGTCTAAAGCAGTGGTTCTCAACCGGGGGTACATGTACCCCTAGGGGTACAAGCGTAAATCGAAGGAGTACATCTAACTTTCATTATAAAATGGCGTATGTTAATCGATTTGCTGCAAATTATTAACACAAGAAACAACAAAAACTTGCTTTAAAATATCCCAGTGTGAACACCAATTTCCCTTTTAACAGGCAAATCAAATGAACAACTTGTTTGTCCATTTGATTTGCCTGTCAATTTATGCCGTTAGTGCCGAGTGAACCTGTAGTCTAGTAAAATTACGGTTTAACCGAGCATTAATTATAGAATAGAAAAAATATCTATTCTATAATTATACTTTTCATCCCCTTTCCTATCTCACTTTACTTTTTCCCTTCGCCTCTTCCCTTAATTGCCTTTCCTCTACTCCTCTTCATACTCGCGCAATACCAATGAGTAGTCCCGAGTCTTCATCCCCTTTATGGTAAATATTCTATAATTATTGCTCGATAAGATTGGGGCTTTTCGTGTTTTTACTGGACTACTGGTATTAGGAATAATGAGGCCTGGATCGTACCCCACCATGAAATACGTGTCACTGCATGCGCGCATTACTTGATATTTAGCAAATTTAGACGTTACATTTGTTACAAAAATTGAAAGATTCATGTATTGTTCTGCGCATTATAAATTCGCAGCCATTACTTTCAATGTCAGTACACAATTATAATCTCTATTTAACAACTTGGGAACCAAATTTTGAAAAAATTCAACAAATATCCCATTAAATTTTGTTAGAAATTATTGTAGAATAATTTAAATTTTCTTTATTGTTAATTATAATTATTTATTTTTAGGAAATGTAATTTATGCATGTATTGAAATGACTTCTGTGATTTTATATACAGTAATATACTTGTCAAATAATAATAAATAAATGTATGTACCTGATTAAATTGATTATTATTGAAATAAGTAATTCATTTTTAGTTATAGTTAGTTAGTTTTTTTATGGTGCTCAGTTGTAAGGGCTGTATACATCTAACGCAGTAATTATAAAATTCACATACCAAAATATAAGGGGTACTTGAGAAACAACTAATGGGCTAATGGGGTACATCAACAAAAAAGGTTGAGAACCACTGGTCTAAAGTATTTGTAGACATCAAAGAATTTTTTAAAATTATTTTTGTATATCTTTTAATTGTAATTCCTGGGTCAAAGCACGGAAATCAAGCTGTTTTTCTCTCAACATGAATGGCTATGATTACTATCAATGTTTTGATATTTTCTTTGACAAACATAATAAATTCCTCTGTCAAAGTCCAAGAATTAACATTTTACTCTTCATATCTAATTTTAAAACAGAGATAAGTCCAGTTTAAAAGCATAGAAAGTCATGGAATAATGCTAAGCCTACGATACATTACAAATGCTCTAAGATGGAAATTAATGAGCAATGAATGGTTTGGCAATGAACAAAAACAACAAAAGACAAGCCATCGTTATCATTTAGGATCTGTGGTCATTGTTATTGGCAGTGTGAATGCAGTCTAAACATCATCTTTGGCACTTTTGAAATATCACTGTCACATCCATAGTTGAAGTATCAAAGCACAAAATAAAACATCTGCTTTTACAAATAGGATCATTTGTGTATTTTGAACAAAGCCAACGTGTATTTTATTTGTATTTCAATATTTAAATATTATATTCAAAGTACACAAGTTCTGTCCAATAAAATTCACACATTTGCTCTTTATCTGAGAATTTTCATGTTGTGCTCAATCTTTGAAAGGGAATGTATATAAACCAATTCCATTTGTAAATAGCTTATATCAAAGCCAGCTATCTCTCTCTATTGAAAGGTTTGAATGAAATTTGTACATTTAACAAATATTGACATTTTATCAAAATGAAAGTTCATTCTGCTAATCTATATTATTTTTGATATTAAGTTAATGACAGACATATGCAATGCTGAAAATAGTATGCTTTCCTATTAAAATTAAATTTTCACATTCTGACCTTTCACGTCAATTAGAATTTTTAATTTTCTAATTTTTTTCCACTACAGATATTTTCATACATATTTAANCCAGCTATCTCTCTCTATTGAAAGGTTTGAATGAAATTTGTACATTTAACAAATATTGACATTTTATCAAAATGAAAGTTCATTCTGCTAATCTATATTATTTTTTATATTAAGTTAATGACAGACATATGCAATGCTGAAAATAGTATGCTTTCCTATTAAAATTAAATTTTCACATTCTGACCTTTCACGTCAATTAGAATTTTTAATTTTCTAATTTTTTTCCACTACAGATATTTTCATACATATTTAAAAAATTCAGTAATTTAATTTTAAATAACTTATTATATTAATTGCTGCTTGTCCTTATTGTGTAAGTATTATAAAATAAAAAATGTCCACAAAAACATTATTTAAGGACTTCATTGAGAAGGAGGAGTCTCAAGAATTAAAGGAGAATAAATGTTTTTCAGATATTTATTGTTCCACAATTATCTAAGTGCTAGTTATTAAATTAATTAAGCATTTTGGATTACTGCCACTCTTCAGGAAAAGGTTTTCAATATTTTTAATGGCATTCTTCAAGCTAATGAAGTTTTTAAATAATTTCAAATTAGCAGTCTTTGATTAAAGTTAGATTTTATTGAGTTTAAAAAGGTGCTTTTTGTATGATTGAATTTCTTATCTCTGTTGAATTCAGTTATTTGATATTCTAGTTTGATCTCAATTTACAATTATTTGACATATATGAATTTAACATATTAAACTGTTTTCTTTTCTCTCTCCCTATTTACAAAACAAAATATTTGATGCAATGAGCATCAACCAATATTTAAAGAACAAAATAGTCTAATCACAAGTGTAATGAGATTGAAATTTATGCACACTTTTATTAGATGGGTTGTAAGTTTGTCTTCATTTTCTTTGTTTCATTCACATTATGTCTTTATTTTCTATGGGGTAATGATATTCATTCCAGTGTGACTGAGGAGTTTAGTAAACTTCATCATTCCATTAATTAAAACTTTTTATCAACTGTAATTTCATTAATTAAAAAGCAATTTTATTTGATTCTAGCTTACTTTTACATAATTTTTACATAATGTTTGCACAGCAAAGTTAATCTGGATAACATTTATTCTGAATACATTAACTAAGAATAATGAGAATACTGGTCAAGACAGTTCATTCAGAATACAACTTGATTTATGTTAATATAATGTCATTCTTCCTCTTGTTAACTCCAGCAGAAGACTTATGCCATGACTAATTCACTTAAAGAATATTAACTGAAGAAAGGTTGTTAAAGTATTCATTGAGATTAGCCAAACCCTTTCTGTTCAAATGAAAAAGTTAATCTTAATCAAGGACTTAAGCAGGGTTAACTATCTTTAAATAAATAGAGTATTATAGTCTTAAATAAGTATTGCATCCTTACCATTAAATAAAAATATGCCTAATATAACATAATTTTGTGAAAATAAAAGGCAATTTGAAAGGAATGAAATTTTGTGATGAGTAGGTTATATGCTGATTTAAATTGCAATTACTAACTCATCAAATAGCTTTTACTTTGTCTAAAGCAGTGTTTCTTAACAGGGTGGCAGTGGCCTCCTGGGGGTCCATAAGAAGTTTGCCGGGGGGGTCGCCAAGTTATGCAAAATTTCCTTCAGAATATAATAAAAACAAAATTGATGTATAACCAAATATCATATTGAAAAGTGAAATAAGAAAGATAAAGTTTTCATATAGTTTTTTAAATTTATTTCTTATTTTTTCCTACATACAACTTTGTTAGTACAGAAGAAATAAATGCAAATATGCTACTTATGCTTGTGTAAGTATACTTGTGTAAGTATTTACTTCTTTTATTCCAAAGTAATTTTAAGAAACTATTAATGCTTAGAATTTTAGATACAAATTTGTGCAAAATATCCTCCCCTGTTTTCAGCAGCAATGCAAAATTTGCTGCCTTTCACTAGTACATATTTTCGAATATTTTTTGTTAAAAATTAATGAATTTTTATGTTTAATTGTATTGAATGTTATTTAAATAGATAATGAAATAATAAAGTTATGTTTTACATTTATTATATAAAAAAATAAAGCAATAATAAAAAAAATCAATTTATTATAGATAATTTAACAAATATAAATTATTATTAAAAAAATGGGAGTCACAAAAAAATTATGAAATATTTGGTGGGCCGCCAGTATAAAAAGGTTAAGAACAACTGGTCTAAAGCCACCAAGAATGTCTTTAGAAAATACGAAAAGTCTTTTGTGCACCAGATATACTCATCTGCCCCAAAACCACTAAATATCTCACATTTAGTTCTCTTCTATTCATTTTCTGTATGCTAAATCCACATACAAAATTAAATTATGCCTATAGTTGATATTGTTCTCTGTTGATAAGCATCTCCAAATTTACATCATTCATAAGACACAATGCTACAGTAATAACCTTGACTCCACGAAAATTA